AGGCAATCATTCCTTTAAGAAGGCTGATTTTCATGATTTAATCCAGGCCTTTCCAAATCAAGTAAGATTAAAATTTTGCACGTGCTGGAAATGTGAAAGACAGAAAGTCCATGTGAAGCTCAGCAGGTCTGGCAGTATCTATGGTTAATGTTTCAAAGCTGGTATGAATTTATGGTTCTGAAGAAAGGCCATACTGTAACGTAGAACAGTACATCACAGGAACAAGCCTCATAATACCATTTTAGACTAATCCGATCTGCCTGCTCATGGTGTGTATCCCTCTATTCCGTGTTTGTTCATGTGTCTATCTAAATACCTCTTAAACCTTGCTGTTGTATCTGCTTCTACCACCTCCCCTGGAAGTGCTTTCCAAGCACCTATCACCCTCAGCATATTAAAAAACTGGCCTTGCACATGTCCTTTAGACATTTGCCCTTCTCACTTTAAACCCTGTGGTATTTGACAGTTTCATCTTGGGAAAGAGACTTTGACTTTCCACCCTATTCATGCCTCTCATAATTTTATATACTTCTATCAGGTTGCCCCCTCAGCTCTGACGCCCTAGCAAAAACAATCAAAGTTTGTCCAACCTCTCCTGTAGCTAATACGCTCCAATCCGGGCAACATCCTTGTAAACCTCTTTTGCATCCTGTCCAAAGCCTCCACATTCTTCCTATAGTATGGCAATCAGAACTGTGCAACAATACTCCAAAAAAGGCCTGACTGAGGTTGTATACAGCTACAATATGACTTGCCAACTTTTATACTCAGTGTCCCAACCGATGAAGGCAAGCATGGTATATGTCTTCTGTACCATGTTATCTATTTGTGTTGCGACTTTCAGAGAGCTGTAGTCTTGGACCTCAAGATCCCTCTGTATATCAATGGAGCTAAGGGTCCTGCCATTTACCATATACTTCCTACTTGTATTTGACCTCCAAAAATGCATCCCTCAAATGTCAGGATTAAACTCCATCTGCTATTTTTCTGCCCAACTTTCCAACTGATCTATATCATGCTGTATCTTTTGATAATCTTCCTCGCTATCCACAACTCCACCAATTTTCACGTTGTCTGCAATCTCACTAATCAGACCACATATATTTTCATCCAAAGTATTTATACATACTACTAGGCACGGTGGCTCAGTGGTTAGCACTGCTGTCTCACAGCGCCAGGGACCCGGGTTCGATTTCACCCTCGGGCAACTGTCTCTGTGGAGTTTGCACATTCTCCCGTGTTTGCGTGCGTTTTCTCTGGGTCTCTAGTTTCCTCCCACAGTCCAAAGCTGTGCAGGCCATGTGGATTGGCCATGGAAAATTGCCCCTGTGTTGAGGAATGTGTAGATTAGATGGGTTATCGGGGGCTGTGTCTGGGTTGGATGCTCTGAGGGTCGGTGTGGACTTGTTGGGCGGAAGAGCCTGTTTCCACACTGTAGGGATTGTATGCTTCTATGCACAGTCATCTCTTGCACTATAAATTGTCTACTTCTTTGTTCACATTTTTCTTTCCCTGCTCCTGCCTCAAAGCAACTTGGGACTTTATCTACCCGAGTGGAGAATCCACATCCTGTGCCATCTCTGACTTTAGAGCACTTCTGGGGGCGGCACGGTGGCTCAGTGGTTAGCACTGCTGCCTCACAGTGCCAGGGACCCGGGTTCGATTTCACCCTCGGGCGACTGTCTGTGTGGAGTTTGCACGTTCTCCCGTGTCTGCGTGGGTTTTCTCCAGGTCCTCCAGTTTCCTCCCACAGTCCAAAGATGTGCAGGCTACGTGGATTGGCCATGGTAAATTGCCTGTAGTGTTCAGGGACGTGTAGATTAGGTGGGTTTATAGGGGGTGGGTCTGGGTGGGATGGTCTGAGGTTCATGTGGACTTGTTGGGGCAAAAGGCCTGTTTCCACGCTGTAGGGATTCTATGATTCTATGAAAAACAAAAAAAAATCCCACCTACTCCTTGCAGAACACCACAGGCCACAAACCTCCAGTCAGAAAAACACCTTTCCACAACTACCTGTTCTCTTCTATGACCAAGCCAATTTTGTATCTAACTTAACTCACCGTGGATACCATGTGACTTAGTCTTGTGTACCAGTCTACCGTGAGGGATCTTGGCAAATGTTTTAGTAAAGCCCACGTAGACAACATTCATTGCCCTATCCTCATCAATCATCCTCATCACTTCCTCAAAAAGTTCAGTGAAATTTGTAAATCAGGAACTCCCCTGCACAAAACTACGCTGACTATTCCTAATAAGCCCATTCTTTTCCAAATGTGAGCAATCTTGTTCCTAAGAATCATCTCTGATAACTTCCCTGCCACTGATTTAAGGCTCAGCAGCCTATAATTTCCTGGATTGCATTTCTTAAACAAAGGGATAACATTGGCTATCCTCCAGTCTTCTGGCACTTCACCAGTAGCTACCGAGAATACAACAATCTCCTTCCTCACCTTTTTCGGTATCATGGGATAGGTCCCATCCGGTGCTGGGGACTTATCTATTTAACGTTTTCCAAGACACCGAACACTACCATTTTCTTCAATATCAACATGCCCTAGAATATCAACATACCCCTCCTGAATCTAACCAATGTCCTTCTAGGTGAATACCGATGCAAATTACTGATTAAGAACCTCACCCACCTCCTCTGGCTGCATGCATAAATTCCCTCTTCTGCTCACAAGTGGACCTACCCTTTCCCTAGCTACTATCTTGCTCCTAATATAAAATGCATTGGGATTCACCTTAATCCTACTCGCAAAGAACATTTTTTTGGCCCTTTTTGCCTTTATAATTCCTTTTTTAAGTTCTTTCCTATTTCCTTTATAATTTCTAAATGACTTTGTCTGATTTCAGTTTCCTAAACCTTACGTATGCATCCTTTTTTCTGTTTGACTACTGTTCAATAGCTCTTGTTTCTGAATCTTGCCATCCTTATTTTTCATCCTCACAGGAATATGCTGGTCCTGAAGTCTTATCAACTGGCCTTTAAAAGACTGCCACGTGTCAGATGTGGATTTACCCCAATCAGCTGCCCCCCAACCTAATTTCTCCAGTTCGTACCTAATACTATTGTAATTAATCTTACCTCAATTTAGCACATTGACCCAAGGACCACTGTTATCTTTACCCATAACTATCTTAAAACTGACAGAATTATGATCACTATTCCTAAAATGCTTCCCCACTAAAACTTCGATCACCTGGCCATTCCCCAGTGCAAGGTCTAATACTGTCCCTTCCCTAGTTGAATTATTTACATATTGTTTCAAGAAACCCTCTGGTTGCATTTGGACTCAACATTAAATTTGCTATTCTCTCCAGATGCTGTCAGACCTGCTGAGTTATTCCAGCCCTTTCTCTTTCCAAATTAAAGTTCATTTTATTCTTGATAATAGTTTAAATCACTTTCTTCTAACCTTGTTAGTTGATTTCCCTGTAGTTTTCCTGGTTTGTGTCCCTTCCTTATCTTGAATGGTGATATAATATTAGCCACCTCCAGTCTGATGGCTTTACTCCTATTTCGAATGAGGACTGAAAGGTCCCCCACCCCCACCACTCACCAGTGTCTGTTACCTTTACATATAGCAGAAACTCTTGTGAACAAGTTCCAGTCAGCTGTGATGCTTGAACAGTTGAATAACTTAGATATAGAGTTCTTTTCCCTTTGGATTATACCCAGTGCCGATGTTTAGCAGTTGGAAACTCTGGTTCCATTCTCTTAATTCACGTTTGTTAAGATGGAATGTGGCCATCATTCATAATAATATTTTGTGGTGTGCGTGCATTTGATGAGGCTCTGGAAAGTGGCCAGCACTCTTGGACTCTCATCAAAGCAGAAGTTGGGGGAAGGTGTGATGACTTTTTTTTTGCTTGTTGACAGGAGCTAGGGCTGCTGCTGGGATACCTGGTAGAGTTTGGACTTCATCCACATACCTCTGCAAGTTCGGCTCACTTGCTGTCCATGGCACAGATACAAAACACTGCAGGAATTTTCCTGGACATGCTTCTGAAATGTCGGCACTGGGTAAGTGTTAATGATTCAAGGAGACTGAGGCGACTGGAGAAAGATAATACTACATTGGTGACACAGTAACAAAGCAGGGGATATCACAGTATTACTGAGCAACTATTTTGACAACAATATTCAGAGTGGACAGGAAGGGACAAAATGTATAAGCACAGAAAAACAGCAGTAAAAAAGCTCAAAGGAAGAAAATGGTAAAAAGACAAAATTAATGTCTCTTTACTTGCATATGTATAGTATTCAGAACAAAGTAAATAAATTAAGTATACAAATGCCAATTAATGATCTGTCATCATTGCAAAGACATGATTACAAGGAGACCAAAGTTGGGAACTGAATATTCAGGGGAATGTGACTATTTGAAAGGACAGGCAGAAAGGAAAGAGTGGTTGGATAGCATTGTTGGTAGAGGATGGAATAAGTACAAAAGTAAGAAATGGCCTTGAATCGGAAGATGTAGAATCCACATAGGTGGAGATAAGAAATAAAAAGGTGAAGTGGAAATAGTCTATAGCACCCTCCAACAGTAGATATACAGTGGGGCAGAGAATAAATCAGAAGATAATGAAACCATACAAAAAGCAGCGCATTAATCATGGGTGACTCCAATCTTCACATAGGTTGGCATAGTCCGATTGGTAGAGATAGCCATGAGGAAGAATTCATAAAGTGTATTCAGAATAGTTTCCTAGGGCAATATGCTGGTGATGCCTAATGAGGCAAGTTTACTAAGTAATGCCAGAGTGAAAGATCCCCTCAGAAACAGTGACCATAACATGATAGAATTTAGCATTCAGTTTGAGAGTGAGAAACACCAGCCAGAAACAACTGTGTTATGCTTAAATAAGGATAATTGCAAAAGAATGAGGGCAGGGTCTGGACTGCGAAAGGAGTTTAGCAGCAAAGATCAGTTGAAGAACAATGACTGATGTTTAAGAAAATAGTTCATGGCTCACTGCAAAGATATATCCCAGTGAGATAGAATGATTAGGAAGGGATAAACCAACCATGGTTAACCAAGAAAGTTATGGATAAGGTCAAATTGAAAGAAAATGAATCACAATGTGAAAAAGATTCGTGTTAAACCAGAGGATTGGGAAAGATGTAAAAATGAGCAAAAGATGACCAAATGAAAAGACAGAGAAGATAAATTTTGAGGGTAAACTTGCAAGTAATATCAGGATAGACAGCTCGAGCTTTTTTAAATATATGAAAAGGAAGAGAGAGGCTGAAATGAACCTAAACCCCTGAGAGAATAAGGATGAGATAATATTGGGCAACAGGAGGAGAGGAAATAAATACAATAATTATCACTCAAGAAAAGATACTCAGGTAACTTATGGGGCTAAAGACCCATAGGTTCCCTGAACGTGGTGGGATGGATTCTAGGATATCAAAATAAGTAGCAATAAAGATAGTGACTGCACTGTTAGCAATCTTCTAAGAGTCCTTAGATTCTGGAAGAAACCCAGAGGAAAAAAAAACTGTCAATGTATAACCTTTATTTAAAAAGAGAAGGAGGCAAAAAAACAGGTAAGGATGGAGGATTAGCTAACTAATCAAAGACTAGAGAGTTGGGATAAATGGGGCATTTTCAGGATGGCACCTATAACTAGTCAAATGCCACAGAGATCAGCGCTGTGGCTGCATTTTTTACAATACGTGTTAATGATTTGGATGGGAAATGTCAATGTGCTGTTGCCACATTTGCAGATGACACAAAAATAGGTGGAAAGGCAAGTGATGAGGGTGACAAAGTGTCTGCAGAGGGATATGGATGGATTAAGAAAGTGGATAAAAAACCAGGCAAATGGAATATAATGTGGGGTTATGCATTTTGACAGGAAGAATAAAATAGTGATGAAAGTATTCAAATGGAGAAAAACAGCAGAAAGCTACAGACGGATTCGTGAGTCCTTGTGTATAAATCACAAAATGCTAGCATCCAATTTAACTGTTAATAGGGAAAGCGAATGCAAGTTGGCCTTCATTTCAACGGAAATAGAGTATATGAGGAGGCAAGTTTTGCTAAAACTATATGAGATATTAGTCAGACCAAGCTGGAATACTGTGAACAGTCTAGGGACTCTTATCTAGGGAAATGAATCTAAGGACACTAGCTTTGGAGGCAATCCAGAGAAGGTTCACAAGGCTGATACCACGTATGGAAGAACTGTTTTATGAGGAGAGGTTGAATTGGTTGTTACCTGTACTCATTTAGAAGAACTTAAAAGAACGAGAGGTGACCTTATTGAAACACACAAGATTCTTAAGGGATTTGTTAGGGTAGATATGGAAAGGTTGTTTCCCCTGTGGACAAGGACATAAGTTCAGAATAACAGATTTCATATTAAAGAAGAATTTCTTCTCTCAGAGGATTGCGGATCTGTGGAATACTTTACCGCAAAGAGCTGTAAAGGGTGGATTATTCTGCATATTTAAAGCTGGGATAGATCAATTTTTAAGGAAAGGCTGAGGAAAACTAAAGGCATACTGGCCTTAATAGCAAGAGGATTTGAGTATCGGAGTAAGGATGTCTTGCTGGAATTATACAGGGCCTTAGTGAGGCCACACCTTGGGTGTTGTGTGCAGTTTTGGTCTCCTAGTCTGAGGAAGGGCATTCTTGTTATAAGGGAGTCAAGTGAAGGTTCACCAGACAGATTCCTGGGATGGTAGGACTGACATAGGAGGAAAGACTAGATTGACTGTATGACTAGCTTGTACTCACTGCAATTTAGAAGAATGAGGGGATATCTCATAGAAACATATAAAATCCTGAATGGACTGGACAGGCTAGATGCAGGAAGAAGGTTCCCGATGTTGGGGAAGTCCAGAATCAGGGTCACAGTCTAAGAATAAGGGGTAAGCCATTCAGGAATGAGATGAGGAAGAATTTCTTCACTCAGCATTGTGAACCTGTGGAATTGTCTCCCAAAGAAAGCTGTTGGGGCCAGTTTACATTAGATATATTCATGAGGGAGCTGGACGTGGCCCTTGTGGCTAAAGGGATCAAGGGGTCTGGGGAGCAGGCAGGAATGGGATACTGAAATTGCCTGAACAGCCATGATCATATTGGACGGTGGTGCAGGCTCGAAGGGCCGAATGGCCTACTCCTGCACCTGTTTTCTATGTTTCTATGTTAACGGTCAGGGAATCAAGAGTTATGAAGCTAAGGCAGGAAACTGTAGTTGAGAATTATCATGTCAGGCAAGATCTCATTGAATGGCAGATGAGGCTTGATGGACTGAATGGCTTACTTCTGCTCCTAAGCCTTATGGTTTAGTAACACTCCAAGACTTCAAGCACAGTGTTGGCTCATCATTCCACACCTGCCTAGAAGAGCCATTCAGCCTGGTTCAACTTTCTAGCTTTTATTCTGTAGTTTTATAGATTATGGCAATATTGTGGAAATACTTTTTAAGGGTTACTGGACCCAAAACATTGACTCTGATTTCTCTCCACAAATGCTGCCAGACCTCCTGAGTTTTTCCAGCAATTTCTGTTTTTGTTTCTGATTTTCAGCATCCGCAGTTATTTCGGTTTTTTTAAATACTGTGGATGCTGGAAATCGGAAATAAAAATAAAAAGTGCTGGAAATGTTCTGCCCATGGAGTCTTTACAGTCCCATCAAGTCCATTTCTCTGTGGAGCAATCCTGATGTTCTCATTTCTCCATTGTATCCCCGAAAGTTCCCTTAAGTGCCCATCCAATTTCCTTTAGAAATTATTCTTTGCCCACTTCTGTCACCCACCCAGGCAATGAGCATTGCCACTTGCTGTATGAATTCATTCCTCCTTACACCCCCACAGTCTTGGATGAGGAGGAATTTTGACAGGTAACAGCGCTGGGGGCTTGGGTGAGAGAGATGGACCCTTTTACAGCCATTTAAAACTGCAACAAGCATGGTTATGGGGCTGCAATCTGTAAGAGTTATCTCTGTCCTATGATTCTAATATTTCACAAACTTCCATACTCCCTGATGGCAATATGTGTAGCGTCCCTCTCTTTCGTGAAAACAGATGCAAAATATTAATTGAGCTCCATTCCAATGTCCTCCACCACACATTGGTTACTTTCATTGTTCCCAAGAGGAACCTTCAGTTATCCCTTCACACTTCATGTAACTATTAAAAATCTTTGGGTCTTTCTTGATTTTTATTTGCCCACTTTTATCATACCTTGTTTGCTTTCTAAACTTCATTTTTAATTTCAGCTTTAAAATTTTATACTCCTCTAGGTTTTCTGCAGTGTTCAACACCCTATATTTCATGAGCTTCTCTTTTTATTTCTTTGTCCTCTCCTTTAAGTCCCTTGACATCCAGAAGCCTCGGGAATTATTCATCCTGCTCTTTATTAAGGGAACATATTTCCTCAGAACCCTCACTATCTGTTCCTTGAATGTCTCCCACTCATCTAGCGCTGATTTACTTTCAAATAGCTTTTTGTAGCTCTCTTCAGTAAAATCACAAATCGAGTTTGAAAAATGAGCTTTACCCCAACTGAAAACTTCTATTCCTTGTCTGTCTTTATGTTCTTTTCTGTAACCACCGTGAATTTAAGTGAATGATGATCTCATTCATCAACCTGCTCCCCAACTGATGTCCTTTCTACTTGCCTGGCTTCATTGCATAAAGCATAGTCTAGAAACACCCCTTCTCTTGGTGGCCATGCTCCATATTGGATAAAGACATTCTCCTGAATGCACTCAAAGAATATTCCACTAATTCAATCCCAGATCATGTTTGAGTACATGCAGATGGGACTAGATTTATTTAGTATATCTGGTTAGCATGGACAAGTTGGACCAAAGGGTCTGTTTCTATGCTGTACATCTCTATGACTCTACAAGTGACTGAGATCCACCAAGACAATTGCTCTCGAGATAGTAGGAACTGCAGATGCTGGAGAAACTGAGATAACAAGATGTATAGCTGGATGAACACAGCAGGCCAAGCAGCATCAGAGGAGCAGGAAAGCTGACGTTTCGGGCCTAGACCCTT